GCTCAGGAATTCTGGGAGTTGAAGTCCACAGGTCATAAAGGGGGCCTTAATATACCTACCCCTGGACTAGAAAGACAACTTTTGAGCAGGGGCTTGTGTTTACTTGAACACATTATGTTTCATTTATTTATTAAATTTGTATATCACCGACCTCGCTGCATCAGGCCAAGTCTTGACACAAAACAGTAACTTTAAGATCTGGGTGATGCATCTCTTAGTTTGATGATTATGCTTAACAGTGCACCAAAGACAACCTGAAGTAATCTTAATTAATAAAATTAATACATTTGATTTTCCTAGCAAAGAGTGAAGTATTCCCACACATCCACTAAGCACTAGAGTGCTGAAGCCCCCTGTCTCCTAAGAAAGGACCAAGCAATCTTAGGCACATTTTTAAATCCAGGTGGTCCTTAACATACAACCACAATGGAGTCTTCTCATTACGGTTGTATGTCACGACAGTCATAAAGGTCCTGTGACCAACTTGATTTAATAACTTCTTTCTGGCAGGCGGTTGTTAAGCAAATGCTGCAGTCATAAAGCAAATGCCACAGTTGTTGTGGGTGCGATTTTGTTGAACCCTGGAAGTGAAGTGTCGGTTTTTGGAAAAACACACTAAAACACAGTCGCCTTACCGCTCGACATTGCAAATGGGTGTAAATGTGGCTCGGTTGAGTGCCCAAGGTTTGATCATGTGACCGCGGAGAGAATCTGATCCTCTAAAACTTCAAGTAGCAAATTCCTTTTTTCAGATCAGTGGTGACTTCGAAATTATCACAGTCATAAGTCAAGGACTACCTCTATAGTATTTGTGGGTGTAGTGTTGTAACTGCAGTAAGGTTTAATTATTAGTTTAATTTAATCTAATCCTGCACCAGGTAGAAATAATTTCCATCTACCACTTGTTTCGGGGAATAGCTTTGTGCCCCGTTGAAACTCCTGGCTTAAAACCAGCTATCTGATCTAACCATTGCACCTGCTGTTCTCTTTCCCAGGTAAACGACTTCCTGTCCGGGAGGTCCCCCCTGACCCTTGCCCTGCGGGTGGGCGATCACATGATGTTTGTCCAGCTACAGCTGGCGGCTCAGCAGAACAGTGGGCAGCTCCAGCACCGCCACGTGATTGCCAGCCGCGGAGAACAAGCTGGAGGCGCCGCAGCCACCACGCCAGTGCCAGCGGCCGGACCAGCTGCCTCCAGTTGCCGCACCCTGCCTGGGAGCACTCCCGCTTCCTCCCCTACTTTTGCCCGGCTCCCCACGGCGCCCGCTTGCCCGCCAAGCCCTGTGCCCAGTCCTGCTGCTTCTCCGTCGCCAATGCAGAATATGCCTCTCTACTGTACCACCGCTAACCCGACCCCCGTCACGGCAGGGATGTTCCATTCGCACGGGACCAGCACACAGACGGTCAACGGAGGGGGGAGCGGCAGCGTCATGTCTCCGTGTTCAGAGGTCAGTCCTGGGGTGCTTTGCGGGGTGTTGAAATGAATGAGGGTTGAGCATGTGCACAAAAGGCCGAAGCCAGGCTTTTGGGTGTGGAGTCCTGACCCATGGCAACTTTTAAGGCACCAGACTAGAAACCAGGAGATGGAGAGTTCTAGTTCAGCCTTGGGCATGAAAAATCAAATAGGTGTCTTTGGGCCAATCAGCAGGAGACAGAGAATACTAGTCAAACTTTAGGCCTCAAAACACTCAGGGTGACTTTGGGACAATCACCAGGTGGCTGTTAGTTCTAGTCCTGTCTTAGGCATGGAAGCCAGCTGGATGACTTTAGGCCAGTCATTCACCCTTAGCCCAGCCCACCTCAAGGGAGGGTTGTTGTGGGGAAAATAGGAAGAGGAAGGTGTGTTGGACATTTTTGCCACCTTGAATGATTTGTAAAAATAATAAATAGATTAAACAGATCCTTACAAGGGGTAGAATAGGTCATTGGGTCTCCTTTCACTCTCCGGCAAATCAAAAAAATAATACTTAACATGCATTGGGAGATTTCTGCTATGAACAATTAAGAGGTATTGCCTTCTGGATTTTTAAAAAGGCTTAGCATTTTTTTATCATTAGTTGCTGCAGGGCAGAACAGAGAAAGAACTGGATTTAGGGAAACTTTTCCTGTATTTGTTAGCTTTTTATCTCATGAGAAAGTTGAAGCAGCTAGCTTTATTATTACTATTTAAAAATACGTATATGCTATGCATCTCACTCCTAAGTCAGTCTGGGCAGCAAGTTTTCCTCACTCCCTATATTGCAGCCCACTGTAGGCCTAGGCATTTTGGTTTTTTATTTGGGTTATTCCTACAAATATTCTCTGGTTCAGAAATCACCTTATAATCCAGGTTCTTTTTGACACACATACTATTTTTTATGACATAATCTGCCTCCTATTGATCCAGAAGGATTCATAGCTGAGCATTACTCTTTGTAAGTTTGTGTGGTCTATAACCACACAATGCTTGGTTGAAGTCTGCTTTTTCAAACCTGGTGCGTTAGAACTGCAGTTCCACCATTCCCAGAATTCCTCAGCCAGCCAGTCAGCCATTTTAGAGGGCTGCCTCAGAATTCTGGGAAATGCAGTCCACCCAATGTATCAGGAAGGCCATCACCAAGTTAGATTGTGTTGAGATGGCCACATTGAGGGTTATAAACCTCCAAAACTTGTAGGTTTGTAAGATAGAAGTCTTCCCCCTAATTTATTTATTTATAAAATTTATTTGCCATCCAGTCTGGGAACGGAGATCTTTCAGATATAAAGGAAAATCGATCTGGAGGGAGAAGGAAAAAACAAGAGTAACCTTTGCTTATAGAAATGTCTTTCTGGCAAGGAACAGGAAAATTAGGTTCCTCTCCAGATGACTCAGCAGAGGGGAGCGTTGTGAAGATGCTGTCAAAGATGAACATCACAAGGTTTCTGGCCCACCGTAACCTCTGTCCAAGGAAGAAGCTTAGATCTTTCTGTTTTTTTCAGCTGCCTCCCCCCACACAAAAAAGCAACAAGCAATCTGACTGGCTTCAAACTTTTTTGGGATCACGACATCTTGATGTGAAAACCTTCTCCAGCCCATCCTTTGTCCCTGCTTAGCATCTGTTCTTTGGCTTTTGCAGGTAGACTGCGCCTCAAGAAGTAAAAGTTCGCCCAGCAGCAGCCCCACTCAGGCCTCTCGGACCCGCAAACACGGCGCTGTGATAGAAAGCTTTGTTAACCACGCCCCTGGGGTTTTTTCGGGAACGTTTTCTGGTACGTCTGCGTTACATTTCTCTGTCTGCCCCATAAGAGGAAATATGGGTGGAAGGTAATACATCACGCAAGCTTCAGAATCCCACACAGCTTCGATCAGTGTTGCTATGGTGATTTTAAGATGGGTGGACTTCAACTCCCAGAATTCCTCAGCCAACAAAGCTTTGCAGGCTGAGGAATTCTGGGAGTTGAAGTCCACCCATCTTAAAATTGCCACAGTTAAGAAAATACTGGATTAGATAAAGAAACCAATGAAATTTCCAATGCTTGTCTGAGTTGATACTCTCCCAGGAAATACAGCAACCATATCTGATGGGTTTATCCTTATTTTAAGCTAAATGATTTTTTTTTTTGCTTTTCAACCCCCAACTCCCACCAAGGGACTCCTTGTCTGCTGATGCCTGCAGACCTTGTTCAGCTTGTAAAAATACATCATGTCACGATCGCCATTAGTCCTAAGCACTCAATAATCCATCCATGATAAATGCAGTCCCTTACAGGTTTCAAAACTGTCTTTTCATCCTTTCTTTTTTAAAAAAACAACTTTTTTTCTGTAAAGTCTGAATTGTAAGAGAAGTACCTGGCTTAGAAAAGAAAAACAAATAGTTGCATGTATTGCCTTCTGCTACAAAAAGTTGAACGAGGGTCAGCACAGTGCAGCCCGTGGGCCAAATCCAACCTGCCATCTGTTTTTATGTGGCTGTGAGCGGGTGGGGGAGGGGACATCATGGTTGAGAATAGCCTATCAGCAGGCTTCTTGTTGGAGGGTTGGTCTTGCCCAAGGACTGTCATGTTCCTTGGCCTGTAGACCTGCCTGTTGTGCTTACAGACATGAAGGAAAGGCAGGATCTGGCTCCTTAAAGAGAATGTTTGCTGATCCTTCCCCTACAGGACTAGCAATTTGGCTTGTTTGGAAAAGCCACGGGAGAGTAAACATTTTGAAAAAGTCTCACTGCAATATACAGCGGTGTTTTTCAACCTTAGGAGCTTGAAGGTGTGTGGACTTCAACTCCCAGAATTCCCCAGCCAGCAGAGCTAAGTGCCTAAGGTTGAAAAACACCGCTATAAACCAACACTGCTGGGTGGTTTTTTTTTTTTTTTCCACAATAGATTTTATGCACTGCTACAACCTTTCCTACTTCTCCTTCCACCCTGCAGGCACTTTGCACCCCAACTGCCAAGACAGCAGTGGCCGGCCGCGCCGAGACATCGGCACCATCCTGCAGATCCTCAACGACCTCCTGAGTGCCACGCGGCACTACCAGGGCATGCCCCAGTCGCTGACACAACTGCGGTGCCAGACACAGTGCTCCTTGTCCACCCCTTCCCTGGATCTCAACAACCACACTACCTCAGAAAGAACGGCAGCTGCTGCTAACCAGCCCTTGCACTTGGGGGTACAGTGCCCAAGCCAAGCAGCCACCTGCAAGCCCACCGGTGAGTTCACAGAGCTGATTTTGGGGTCTTTTCCCTTGCGCCTCCCTTCCCCTCCTTTCTCAGTCCTCCAGGAAAGTAGAAAAACCAGCTGTTTTTTTGCAGACTGGCCTCTGAGCAGGACAGAAGGTCCTTCCGGCGGGTGGGGCTTGAAGGGTGGGTCTTATTCTTGAGGGGGGGGGCTTATTCTTGGGAGGGGCATGTGCAAAGGGGGCAGGATCAGCGTTGGCTTGGGTTTGGGTCTGTCCTAATTCTGCAGGAGTTTAGAGGCGTTTTATCAATGGAATATCCAATATTGTTCTTGTTATGGTATAAGTATTCCTCGACTTACGACCATTCATTTTGCGACTGTTATGATAGTACTGAATAAAGTGATTTAAGACAAGTCTTCCTACTTAACAACTGTCACAACATCCCCTGATCACAATTCAGGCAGTGGCCTGGGGTCATGGGATCCCCATTTATTTATTAAAAGTTTATGCCACTCATCTCACCCTGAAAAGTGTAACTCTGGGTGATTTATAATTAATATCCCAGCCAATGTTCCTCCAATCAGTGGAGGAAGCCAGATTCACTTTTTAAAAAATGTAAAATTGGGTGTGACTCACTTAACATCTGCCTCACTTAGTGACAGGAGTTCTGGTATCCCAATTATGGTCATAAATTGAGGTTTACCAGTATTATTATTGGTAGTACTATTAAAATAGTTGGTACTAAGTTGTTTTCATGTAATAAATATTTGGAGAATCGATGAACAATCTGGAACTTCTCAAAGGGGATGAACTTGGGTGCATGTAAGGTTGAAAACAGAGTCTGGGGAACCCTGGTTTAAAGAGAGGCTGATTTAAGTTGGAACTTTTAGCTATTTGCTTCCAGTCGTGTTACTCCTGCGTTTGGATTCCCAGCATCGTGAAGTTGGGCAGCTGAGATGAATAGACTGCCAAAGAAACTTAAGTTTCTGAATGATTTAATTGGATTCGTATGTTGAATTCCTCAGGCAGAGTAGAATTGGTGCGATTTGTTGTTACTCATCCAGAAAAATAGTCTGAAAGGCGGAAAAAGAGGGCTTCCCTGTATAAGCCAGGGTTACTCCTGATGTGTAATGTGTTTTTCCCCCCTGATTTCTGCTGTTTTAACTGAATCCTTTGCCAAATAAGTTTATGGGTGGGGTAGAAATCTAAAAAAGACCAGGAAATGCCAGTTATTACCGAACTTACAGGATGCCCTGAAGGAAGAAGGAACTCAATAAACCATAGATTGCTATGATTACCATGATACATTCATGAGGAGGTGGCTGATTGCCTTAGCCATGATGAACATTTGTGAGAATGACAGCAAGCAGTAGATGCACTCTATCTGAAGTGAGCAAACAGGATCCCTGACTATGCAATAGTAGAATATTGCAAATTATATGGGGGTATTCTATGTCAGGCCTTTTTTCAGCTGTAGTTCAAAACATAATGATAAGAGCGATGAGGAGTTATGATTAATTTTTCCAGAGATACGACCTCATTCTCAGAATCCTTGGACAGGTATTGCATCAGTTCCATTCCTGGAAAATAATAATCGCCTCCGCATGTTCTCACAACCAAGTCTTTTTCTCAAGCATGCAATTAGCATCCTTCCTGTCGTAAGTAGGTGTGGCAGGATACAACCCTGTGAGGTAGGATAGTTTGTGATCTAGGCCTCGTGATCTTGGTCTTCTAGATTTGCCTTGTCCTAGCCCTTTGAGTAATGTTTCTCCACCTTAGCAACTTGAAGATGTCTGGACTTCAACTCCCAGAATTCCAGCATGCTGGCTGAGGAATTCTGGGAGTTGAAGTCCAGACATCTCCAAGTTGCTAAGATGGAGAAATACGGTCTTAGTGGGGTCTTGACTGATGAAAAATTATTCTATTTTGCTTTTAAGTATGGGTGTTTTTATGTTTATTTGCTTTATGGGTGTTCTGCCATACATGTCAAGAGTGTTTTGCTTTGGTCCCTACCCCAAATGTCAGCTCCACCCCATAATCTTCTCCAGCCCCAAACGCAACAAAAGAGCGGTGAAATCAAAGCAGACCTACATTTCCTTCGAGATCAGCCCAATAAGTCCTCCTGTTTATTTGATTGGCCTTGGCTGAAGTCCAAAAGCACAGCCTGTGTTGATTAGTTCTTGGGAAAGGAGGCCACCAGGAAATTCAAAACTTGATTTCCTGCTGAGAAATGAGGGGAAAAAAAATCTTCCTTTTGTATATCCCTGCTGAGAAAACTGCTAGGATATGTTTGTTCTTGTAATCAGGAATTAAATGTGACTTATATGCGGCATGAACTCTGACATTAAATAAATCCTGGTTTAGAGCAGTGCTTCTCAACTCGATTATCAAATCCCAGAATTCCCCAGCCAGCATGCTGGTTTAGAGCCACACCTGAACTCTGTCTCTGAATTTTTGCAACTATCAAAGGTATTCCATCTATCAACCTAGTCAGGCCTAGGTCACTGGCACCCTGAAGCATAATGGAACAATAGATTATCTGTTTGCTTTTGCTAATAGATGGCATTAACCCACTGGCTGCCCAATATACAAACACACTCATTGAATATCAGTCAATGACTCCCACCCTTCCTTCTCCAATATTCAATGAGTGTGTTTGTATATGTGAAAACAGTCCTTTTCCCATTCATACTTCCCTTCCCTCCTCCTGTGTAAGTGTTTGCGTGCATCTTTCCCAGTGGAAGTGGAATGTACTTTCGTTTTTTATTTTCCTTGACAAATGTGTGAGTTTGGGAATAGAGAAGGCAAATCAATAAGAATAAAGATGCATTTGGTTGAAACAGGCAGTCATAAAGCTCTTGCAATCAGAATCTCCTTTAAGGTTCTTTGATGTGTGTGGGAGGCTGGATTCAAAAGAGTATAGGAATTGTAGTCCCAGCCTATCTAGAGGACATTAAGTTGGAGAAGTTAGTGCGTTCAAAATATTTGCACATCTAAATCCATCTCCGTAGCTTCTGTCTGTTCTAGGATTCAGTTTTGGGTCTACCTGGTTTGAAAAACCTGAACTGGCCACAGTGTTTAGCATTCATCAGTTTTAGTGCTCTATAGCAGGGGTCCCCAACCACCGGTCCCCGGACTGGTACCGGTCTGTGGAACAATTTCTACCGGGCCGCCGGCTTGGTGGGCACCGCCATCTTGTTTCGATGAAAAAGTGCTTCCGGTGAGCTTTTCCGGGTAGAAAGCGGCGTTTGGGTGCTGAAAGAATCCTCACGCCTTAGTTTCATCGGGGGGGCCGTCGCAAAGCCCATTGACACAGGTACAAAGGAGGAGTTGAAGGTGGCGGGGAGAAGCGGGGGACGGCTGGCTGGCCAGTCGCTCGGCTTGCTTTGTCATGCGTGCTGATGCCGGTACTGGGCCGCGGATGATTTTGTGATGCCGGTACCGGGCCGTGGCACAAAAAAGGTTGGCGGCCACTGCTCTATAGATTCATTATGCGCCATCAAGTTGGCTCTTATTGGTCCATTGATCTTCGTATCATGTGTCCAAAGTAGACTAATTTGAGCCTGGTCATTGATGCTTTTCAGTGCAAATTCTGAATGGATTTATTTGATGATCTGTTCTTCTGTTTTCCTGGCCATCTATAGTATTCTCAGGAATCTTCTCCTACACCAGATTTCAAAACCTACCTGTCTTTCAGAATCCAACTTTAGTATGTATCTGTGGCTTGTCAGAGAAAAAGAACAAATAACATTGCGTGATTCTGAATATTTTTTCAACTATGCTAATCGCTAAGATTAGACTCCTACATTTTTAAAGGTTTGCAGAGAGATAGAAACTAGGCTGAGGAGACTTTTTTTTTAATTTTGAATTTGGAAGGAGAAGGGCCCCGATGGATAAGTTTCTTTGCTCTATAGTAGCAGAGCTGGAACATAACATTTTGGATAAAGAGAACCAGTCTCTTCTCTGGGGTAGGAGCCAAAATTATGTGGCAGAATCGGAGGGAGCAATAGAGCTAGCCATTTTCTGCTGGGGCCAGGAAAAAAAAAATTGGAAGAAAAGAGAAGGGAGAAGAAGAGTCCCAGGCTTTTCCTTGCCTCCTGTTCTTGGCCTTTCGAGTCTGGGTTGCAGATTCTTATTTTTCCTCAGACTAAAATGACAGGAAGCAAAGGGACTCAGAATAACCGAGTTGGAAAGGACGTTAGAGGTCTTCTATCCAGGGGTCTCCAACCTTGGCAACTTTTAAGACTTGTGGACTTCAACTCCCAGAGTTTCTCAGCCAGCCATTATGCTGGCCCTCCACGTGACCGATTTTCCCCACCTGTTTTGAATCAGCCCTTAAGCAGACACATGGGTTATAAAAGC